GGGGTTATTGTGGCCAAAGTGTAGGAGCCTGCACTTAGTCATGTTGAACTTCATCCAGTTAATATGTTCATACTGTTCATACCGCTCATACCATTAATTAGTTAACTGTAAATTATGGTGACAGGAAGAACTGAAATAAAAATGCACTTGTAAACAGCTTTTTCTCTGCCCATATATCTTTCAGAAGGACAAGTCCTTCTTACTGTATTTGGTCAGGTATCTGTCATTACACTACAACTAACACAGTGAGAATTGTAACAAACTCCTTTGATTCCCCAAGAAGGTCTTTTTTGTCCTCATTTCTGAGGCTCAGCTCTTTGTCTGGTCTCAGGATCACAGCTCTGTGCTGCAGCACCTCCTGGCCACATACCAAAGCCTCTCAATCTGCCCATATAGTCTTAGATTTTCCAGCAATCTCTGTCACATTCGGACTGGGGGCCAATCATTCTGTTTTTAAAGTAGTATAGGAATCAAATCATGAACCAGCAAACAAAGCAGATACAGCTGGCCCCAAAGTCCTGTGAATATTAATGGTTACCATGACATTTAATAGTATAATGGAATCCGTTTGAGTCCCAAAGTCAATAGGATATCTCTCTTAGATCCCAGATATCCTTAGAGTTGGAGCAGCGAAATACTTTGGACAAACCATCCTAGGAGGGCCTTTCCACATAATTGTGTAAGTACATCACATTTTAAGTCTAATAAATATATTGCCTTTCATTTTTCTCACTGCTGTCTTTTGCCAGATGAGTAATTTTTTCCATTCTTTTAGAGTATTCCTTCTTTAGATTTATTTCTCCTACTAGCTCATCTGGTGTGTAGGAAGCCAAGAGAGTGGACAGGCAGAATTGACAGTGCTGAGAGGTCTCTCTCTGTGAGGCTAGTGGCTGTATGTGCCTGTCTTGGAATTTTTGAAAAGAAAACAAAAAGGAGGGTAGGATTCCTTTAACGATTTTTTTCACTGTCTATTCTTCTTTCGCAGCATCACATATGCTTGCATGATTCTAATAACCATGGTGATGCGTCTCACTAGCACAACTGGTGAGGTGGTGCCCATGTCCTTTGCCCTGGTGCTAGGATGGTGTAATGTCATGTACTTCGCACGAGGCTTCCAGATGCTTGGACCCTTTACCATCATGATCCAGAAGGTATAAGACATAAACAAATATCGGTTTGTTACACACATCCTGACAACTTTTTGCACATAAGGAGAACTGAAAGAATTTTTTTCCTCAGAATTAGCATTAGTGGAAAATGGACAAGTTCTTTTCTGCACAGGGAGTTTGGGACTTCCACATTCTCTCTTTAGTGCAGAGGTTTCCTTTAGTCCACCTGTGGACTTAGAATCTGCAAAATGGTTTACATAGGGTTGCATTGTGACTTGGTGGGACAGCTGGGCGTTATGGTGGCTCTGTCTTCACTTTACAGATGATATTTGGAGATCTTATGCGCTTTTGCTGGCTCATGGCTGTGGTGATACTAGGCTTTGCATCAGGTGAGTCAACAAAAGGACAACACAATATGTTACCCCTAATAACTTATTTAGTCTGAATTAAGTGCATGGATTTTGATTTGTTCTCAGGTTGCCCTCTGAGATAGCCTTCAAAGATGATGATGACAGTTCTTTGAGCATGGTCACTTTCCCAGTACTGGTTTCAGTTCTCATGAATTTGGTTTTCAATTCTTGCTCTTTCCAGGGTAATAAATGTTAAGATAATTCCACTTTTACATAACTCAGGGTTTAAAGATATACTTCATTTATGACATTTGTCTTTAGAAAATGAGATTAACACACATAGAGTTATTATATTCTTGAAGAACAAATGATCACTATGTTGAGAACAATAATCAAAGTAACTCTGAGTCATTTTACAATGGAGACCAAGTGATTTTAGCAAGCGATTTATGCTTATTATGCTGGGTACTGAATTATCTTAGAAACACATGCAGCTCCTCCCCAGATCACTTTGTGTGGTCAGCATCTCTTATAGGACCCTATTGTTATTGGTTAGGTATGCTGGATGAAGGTTGGACTAGATGATCTTCAGAGGTCCCTTCCAACCCCTAACATTCTGTGATTCTGTGATTGTTGATCTTGGAATGTGATTCCCATTGTTAAACTATTTTTCACTTTTTTTCTCCATTGCTCTATTCTAGCTTTTTACATCATCTTCCAGACAGAGAACCCTGAAAACCTTGGGCAGTTCTACAATTACCCTATGTCTTTGTTCACCACCTTTGAGCTGTTCCTCACTATCATTGATGGCCCTGCAAACTACGATGTGGACCTGCCTTTTATGTACAGTGTGGTATACTTTGCCTTTGCCATCATTGCCACTCTCCTTATGCTCAACTTGTTAATTGCCATGATGGGTGACACCCACTGGAGAGTGGCCCATGAGAGGGATGAGCTCTGGAGAGCCCAGGTAATTTAATTTAAGTGTTAGGGGCTTTGATTTGAATAAAGAAAAGGAAAAGTTGTCCAAGGAAAATGTGCTGGACAGTGCTATTCCTTACTCTGCCATCTGCGCTCTACTGTTTCCCTGGCCTTCACTTTTCTCAAGGGCTAATACAATAAACCATGTCCTTTTAAAACTATTTTGCAGCTTCTGTACATCAGCCATCGAGTTTCTTTCACCCTTTCTATGAGTCTGAGGTATCTTAAGTGCAAGAGTACTCTTCTGAACATCTTCCCATGCAAAGTTGTTTTCTAGCATATCTTAGCTCTGCATGTATTCCTACATTATTCCTACATCCCAGTCTTTCTTGTCCACCCTGTGTCTCCCTAGCTGTTTGCTCCCTATGTATGGAATCTTTTGTTAAATAGAATTAAAGTTGCGGCTTTCTTTACAAATCATATTTCTGCGAAACTGAGAGTTAAATTATCCCTATAGGGATTGACTGAAGGGAAATGGAATGCAAGGTAATGATTACAAGTAGGTCAGTAATGTCTTTAGATCCATTAAGAGAAGTTGGCCTGACTCTCTTGCTCAAAAGCAAAATAATCAGATCAGTTATATAACTGCTCAACAGGAAATCCACTTCCTGGTATTTTTCTGTGAGAAAGCAATAGGTCAAATGATTAAATGTAGTTGTGTGGCCACATTGGTAAGTTCTGATGACAGTTAATACAGATATAAGTACTCTCCTCTTCTCCAGCTTGTAAAATAATTACCCTACGTGTTGCCGTCATGTATAAGAGAAAGAAATTTAAGTGTTTTAAGAGCACTGTTGCTACTTCAAAACATGACACATTTAGGACTGAAATAGTTAGTTGTCCTATGGTAAACAGAGTATTGATTTTATGATTTTTCTTCATTACATATGGAACTGTAATGATGTATGGTAATGGGTCAGTACTCATGAAAATCATAATTTTGACCTTCCTTTAGTTCATAATTTTTCTTTAGTTCATCCAATTTCTTGTTTTTATTCTAAAGGTTGTTGCTACTACTGTCATGCTGGAGCGGAAACTGCCACGGTGTCTCTGGCCTCGCTCTGGTATCTGTGGGCAGCAGTACGGGCTAGGGGACCGATGGTATCTCAGGTGAGTTCTCTTCTAGAGTGTGCATATAAGGATCCCAGAAGAAGAATCCAACATATGGATGTTAATAAAGAGCTTTTCCATTGGCCTGGGGATGAGTGTTTGGAATCCTTCCGTTACAGAATACGGACCTCAGTCTGTTTTCTGTCTGTCATTGAAGGCAAGCACTGTTCCTCTCAAAAAGCTCTGCTGTGCAATTCCCTGTGAAGTCAATGGACATTTTCTTATCCAGTAGTCACATGAAACAGACTTCAGAAACTGCATGGTTACAAGGCCTGAATTTTTACTTCAAACTTCATAATGAGTATCACAAAACACCACCACTGTGCCTGGCTGGCACAGGATGTGCATTCATAGATGCATGAAATGGCAGAGGCAGAATAAATCAATTAGGCATTCAGCAGCAATGAACCGCACTATAGATAATTCAAAAGCAGGACAGGAATAATGAAAGGCAAGATTTCTTTCTTGTGTGAACCTAGTAACTATATTTGCAAAAACGGAATCAGGTGGCAAAATCTTAGGTTCAAGATTTCAGTTTAAGCACTGAAATAACAAACAAACTATCTGTAGTGTTGTTGGCATTAGACTCCTTATTATTTTGATTTTAATCAATATTTATACCAGGGTAAGAAAGGTTGAATTTTGGGCATGTGGCTTTTCTAACTGCGTTCTCCTTTGCTGACAAAACCTGAAGAGGGAGTGGTAGCTGTATGAAATATGGCTTTCTGCAGGTTTTAGCAGAGAAATGAACTTTGTGGATTTTCAAGTTGGCTGGGCAGAATGAGCAGACCTAAGGTGATATCAGTATGTAACACTTTCAGCCCAAAGTACAGAATATAACTTTGCAAGAGCAATATCCTAGCAACAATTCTTCACTGCATGTTATGAGAGAAGAAGATTGATGTGGAATAGTTCTGTCAAAATACGTGTATGTTCATTGTATATAGTGTGGGATGGTATTTCAGAAGACAACTAATGAATAAAGTAGAGGAGAGCTGGTTGAAGTGGAGCAGTTAAATAAAAGTTCAGAAAAAGATAAGTGAAATCCTGACATTAGCAGCCATGCAGTATCAGAGGAGGATAGATAAGAACAAAGAAAATGGATGATTATGTGTCTGTATACAAAGGATCTGGAGCTAGTCAGATGGAGTAGGTCTGCCAATAGCTTACAGCTGGAAAAATGGATAGGTGAAATCATGACTAAGAAATGAGTTAAAGGGCAGGAAACCATAGGCAGATAAGGATACTGAAGTCAATGACAAGGATAAAGGTCTAGGAGATAATAGGTAGCGGCTGCTAACCCCATGCCTGTAATCAGTTTCCTCTTTCTGCATAGATTTTCTGGAATGTCTAGGTCAGTAGGCTTTTTTTTTTGAGGGGGGAGGGGTGGGGGCTTGCTTCTTGTGGCTTCTCAGATTTGTTGATAAGCAAGTTGGCATGTTTCTACTTCATTCAGTTCAATTCTTTAATCCTCTTACAGAGTTGAAGACAGAGTTGATCCCAACAAACATAAGACAATGCGGTACACAGAAGCATTTAAGTCTCAGGATAAGGACAACTCTCATAAAGTTTTGGAAAAGCTGGAAATCAATAGGGACATCCAGTACAAGAAGGAACCATCTTCTCTGTCATTGTCACGGAACATATCCAGGACTAGTTCCCACCGTGGCTGGGAGATCCTGAGGCGCAATACCTTCCATCAGCTTCGTGGAGAGGTTGGTCATGCCATGGAAGAGGTCTATGATGTCTAAGAAGCCTCTTTTTACTGCACAACACAGGTCACTTTTGCCACAACAATTGTCTTGTCCCACTGTTTATACACAACCCAGCGTACTACATACATTTGTCAGCCTTGAAGAAATCTACTGGTGAACAGCTATGAATAGTTCAAGGAATCTAAGCTATGATACACAAACACAGTCCTGTCTACCCTACATTTAACTGCCTCTGCTGTTGCACTGGTATTTGCACCAAGCTGGTGGGCTGGCTGAGCTGAGGTCTGTGGTGGTTTGTTATACACCCTACAGAAATGAGCAAAAGAAAGCAGCGATAGGACTTCAACCATTTACAAAGAACTGATCATTAATCCCTCTCCCAGACTGTTACATACAGTCTAATCTCTCTTCAATTTCAAAATATCCTAGTACCCTCACAGCAAAGACACACATGAAGTTCTGTTTTATGATTTGATACAGAACTGAAAAAAACTGTAATTAAGCTCAAGAATGGAGGTAGTTGCTGACACTGAAATGATTAAAAGGATTGTAACTACTCAGCTGGCATTCAGGGCCTGACAGATTTTGCCTTCTGAATTGAGGCAGTCTCTATCAGCTGCATTTTCAACATTGCTATCTTAGTAGGACTGTTTGGGTTTTGGTTTGGTTTGCTTGTTTGCATTTTTTTTTTGTGATTTGTTTTTTGTTTATTTGTTTTATTTTTCTTGTCACATGAATGCACTTTAAGCTTAATCTTAAACTGAAAAGAAGTGATTGCTATTCCTGGGAGGATTCTGAAGGATCTGAAGTGAGAGCTTCTTTTCCTAATGGGAGCATGTATGACCTGGTTAGGTGACTTTAAGCAGTGTGAAATTTCAGCACTGCTATTAGTCTCCCAAGTGAATTGAAGCTGGTCTTTTTTTTTTTTGTTTTTTTTGTGTGGTTTTTTCTGTGGAAGAGTAGGATTATGAACTGCAGTTCTCTGATAATAATGGAACAATCAAGGTTGAGTAGTGAGATACAAAAAGAAATGGAGAGGAAATGTTGGAGAGATGAATAAGAGTTATTGCAGTCAGTTCAGAAACTGGTGCTCTCTGTCTCTAAAAGTCTAAAACTATCCAATGAACAACTAAGTAATCCACACAGTTCTCTTCTACGTATAATACTGTGCCAGTCTATCACTTTGTCATCTGCCTTGGGCCACTGTAAGAGAAGTGGAGAAATGTTCAGAGGAATGGACTGTCATTTCAGGGTGTTTTTGTATTCTCAGGAGTGTGGAGTTTCATTCCAATAGCAGAAGTAAGTGGAAAGCAATCCACGGTCTTAACATTTCCTTCCAACAAGACCAGTAATGGAAACTTTGTTTTTCAAGGAACCAGAGTTTATTACCTATCACTAGATTTTGAGGCAAATCACCCTGCAATTATCAAAGAAGATCATGAAAAAGCTGAATCCAGTGGATTTCTGATTGTATTGAAACATCACAGCAAACATCTCTTACATCTCTGCTCTTGCACAAGAATTACGATCTTTGCAATTCTGTGTGTTTATTTAAATGTTCTTTCTCTTAATTGAATGTGTATTTATGCTCAGTAGGAAGACTTATAGAAGACTGTCTCTCTGAAATTCAGCTGCACACTTTTTAAATTATTCATTTTGCTGAACTGAAAGTGTTACCTGGTCTATCTCACATAAATGTTATCAGTAGTTTCAAAAATCTTTGGGATTTGTACGGTGGAGATGGTAGCAATGTGGTACATTAACCAGAACTGAGAATTGCTACTCTAGTTGTAGATGAACTTTCTTTCATAGTGAATGGGAAATAGCAGGAAGGGTAGAACTGATGCCTTCCTCCTTTTCCCACCACCCCAAAGTATAGTAGCGCTTTCACTAGTTTGAAAACCTGCAAAACTAGAATTAAGATGGAGCTGCATATAGTCATTTCTACAAAAGGACTTCTTTTTGTGACATAATAATAATAAAACTAATTTGAAGTATAAGCTGTGTAACCCCTGCTTCAGATTTTGTGTTCTTCTTCATTGCTATTAACAATAAGGAGAATTTTGATTTTTGGAACTTAAACCAACACGCTGACATTGTAGGAGGCAGAACAGAACTCAGTTAACAGTGCTAGACTTTGTAAATTTCTGTATCTGCTCTCCATAAAAAGAAAAAATCCAGTAGCAGATATTTTTAAGGAAGTGCCTTCTCTTGTAAAAATACACTGTGCAATGGTTAGCTTTCAAACTCCTTGCACTGAACCCATGCACAGATCAGCATCGGATCTATGTGATTTATTTCCTGTCTTCGAAATTTCCTAATGCAAATAAGATAGAGAACCATAGAATCATAGAATATTTTGGATCAGAAGGGACCTTTGAAGGTCGTCTATTCCAACCTCCCAGCAGCAAGCAGGGACATCTTTAATCAGATCAGCTTGCTCAGAGCCCTGTCCAACCTGACCTTGATTGTTTTCAGGGATGGGGCATCTACCACCACCATGGACAACCTGTTCCAGTGTTTCACTGCCCTCATCATAAAAAATTTCATCATGACTGCTATTGGACTTTGGCTTCCAGTTTCCTGAGGTGACTTGAATATTAAAAAAAAAAAAATCCTGGAAAAGACTTTATACAAAAGAGGGCAGAATATTTTACCAGTAGTGACCGATTCCCGAGTCAACTTTGCATCATCTTTTTGTTGATGATGAGTGATGCAGACCATTTTAGCATAATTTATTTGATCTGGAGGAGAAACAGCTATAGAAGAAAATAAGAGATGGGAGAAGTCACCAGAGGTTGGAAACACTAAATTTAGTTTTTAATGGTAGAATATCTACGCTCTTTCATTAGGACATACACACATGTGCCCATGTGAACCTGAGATGATGAAGGCACTAGAGTAACATTTGAGCTAGTTCAGTGCAATCTGTCTCAGACTCGGAAACAGCAACGACTACAGTCACACAAAGACAAAGCATTTTTGCTGTAACATCCTGTGTGAATGTACTTCTTCAGAATTTGCTTCATATTTTTGCATTTTGTGATGCAGTTACATCCTAAAATTATGAAGAAGTGTTGCTGCTCCTTGCTGTCGCAAAGTGTCTTTTCCCTTCTAACAATGCTGTGATAATTTCAAAGCTGATGTTCCTCCCCTCCTTGAAATTGCTAAACTTAAACTATCTTCTATGCTACTGAAGCAACTCCTAAGTTTTTGATAATGTGACAAGAACAAATGTTTTCATCCAGTTGCTTGTGGTAAAATGAGAAGCATTTTACTAAAAATAAAAATATTAAATATCTGGAGTACCTTTTCTGCTTATTTGTGTCTAAACTAAGTGTCATGGGCCAACTATTGTACTTGTATTACTATCGTACTATTGTACTAGCAGCAATCAGGGACATTAATTTACAAGCTGGATTGTCATGTTTGGGTTCATGGTAATTTTTCTGGACTGAAGTTGTTTTTCCACAGCAATCCACCTCAGAAATACCTTTATACAAAATTTGTTGAGTTTCAAATGCTCATTTCTAGTTCAAAATAAGAACTACTAAGGCCCTTATCTTTTAATGTCTAGTGAAATTAATTGAAATATTTGAATGTCTAGTGAAATCTGTAGTACAAGCTCTTTGAAAAAGAAGGCAGATTTTAACGTTGGTGGAATGACCTACTTTGGATGGTGAGGCAATAGTCCTTGCTACAGCTACTTGCAATGCGCACAGGTACAGAGAGTACCTGTAACAATAACACACATGCAAAACTGATACAGACAGCCCAGTTTTGCATAACTGCTGAATTTAAAGTTTATACCATTTCTTAAATAATTACTATAATTTCCTTTCTAGCCTGATTAGGGGCTTCATCCTATATTAGACATTAAAGCAGACAAGACAAAGAAACTGCAGGTCAGACTAATAGAATTAGTCTGATGAGTCCTGATTAATTAATTTCCATAAACTTCTATTGAAGGGCATTCAGTACTCTTGAGGAACTCAGCTGTAAACAGTCTTGCTTCTTTGAAAACTACAGTTTAATGTGGCTTTGTATTTGCAGTTGTTTTTTCTCATTTGCAATATCTAACTTCAGTTTCAGTAATATGTGTTATTTTTTCAGATTTGTATAATAAATTAAATAACAAAACAATCATCATGTCTTGGATAGAAGTAAGCAAGGTAAACCAACTTTTTAAGTTGATTATTTGAAAGCTTTCTAAATGTGAATAAACCAAACCAACAAATACTTGGTTCATAGAAGATTAGGGTAATACTTAGAGCCCATTGATTTTTAAAAATAAGGTTATTTTTATTTCTGAAATAATATTTTAATCAAGCTCCCGGCTGTGCACAGAGAACTCTGGCAAGAGTTTTAAGCTTACCTTGAGTAATCTCCAATCCAAGACAAGAAACTGGTGAAGATGAAAGCAAGCATCTCTGAGACAGGCAATATGATAAGCCTCTGGTCTTGCTACTGATTTATGCAGGGCTGATAATCACAAAGTGTGTAAGATCTGCTGCTATTTTTCATCCTTTCTTTCAGTGCTCAGCCTTTGTGCTTCACCAGAGATGAAATAGTCTGTACTAATTATTTCCAAAAAATAAATACCAGTGATTCTGATCATTAATCAGTGGCATTATCTATAGGACAATTTTACAAGTCAGCTTAGAACTGAAGACATAAGAAAAAAATAGTGATTAAAAAATCAATGAAAGATTTGAGGTTATCAGATTTCTAATAAGATTTATCCATTGGCTAATAGAAGAATTAGTTGTATAGGACATCTGAGATCATCCAACATTAGACCGTGTCTGCCATGACTTTGTCTTCCAGAGTCTTGAAAATCTTAAAGATGGAGAGCCAAAGGAAGGGAAGAAGGGAGGGAGGCTGGAGGGCAGGCAGATTGGCTTTATTTTCTCTCTCATTGGAAGAAGACTTTCCTAGTACAGATATAGTCAGAAAAGGACAAAAGAGTCACAGAAGCCCAATTCCTGAAGCAATTTTTACACTAAAGTGTGCATTATGATCTGAAAATTTTCTCA